CTGTGTGGAAAAGTTGCCTGTGGCCTGGGAAAACGCACCTTGTGTTTTGGTTCAGATGGATGCTCACTACAATCTCTCCACCTTTCCTGGTTCTCACGGAGAGGAAACTAAACTTAGCAATCCAGTTCTGTGGGAAGGAACCAGGGCAAGGAGTGGAGGATAAACTAAAGGACAAAGGTCAACTTTAGAAAGCTGTTCTACCAGATCTTGCTCAGAAAGCTATTCAGGTATACAGAGACTGAGAAGAAAAGGAGATAGGTGGGATTAGCAGAATGAAAAACTTTAAAAGCCTAATGATAAAAAAATCTAGGGGGCCAAGAGAAGGAAGAATAAAGCAAGAATTCCTGTAGTGTTTTGTTTTTTTGTTTTTTGTTTTTGCATAAGTCAGGATTCATCTCCCATTCTCCTTGTCTGATTCCTATTTAAAAATTTAAAGAATAAAATGCAATTTGGAGATGATCCCCTGTGTAATGTTTTTGAAGATTTTGCTTCCCTTTTAACCTCCCATTCTCCCTTATTAGGACGTGTGTCCTAAACAATTAACTAAGTAAAAAGAAATATATCTCTGTTCATTTTGACATGGAATAAAGCTATAAAGCCAATCCATTAAATTACTTTTCTTTTTAAAATGTCTTGTTTTGAGAAAGGAGATAGTTTGGTCACAGGATGAAATTCTAGTCCATGATTCTTTGAAAAAGGGGAATATAAGAATTCTTTCCCTTATTCAGTCTTCTACCACCTACAGGGGGTCCAGTTCTTAAAGAGTACTTTACAAAAGAAGATTGTGATTTCAAAGCAAAATGGATTTGAAAAAATATACCTTGATGTTCAGAATGTAATGTGGAAAGGCAAAAAGAATGTTTCCCAACCTGAAAGCACACTTCACTGAGAAGCTTACCTTTTAATTGCCCAGTTTATGGCAAATGTGAGCTGCATTTTATGAAACCAAAGTGTGAACCTCCTTTAATGTCCTGTTGTCAGGTATTCCTGACAGTATACATCTGAATTTTAAGGGCTGTAATGGTTGGACATCAGTTGTAAAAGTTTTCTCTTACGTCTTTAAACTAACAAACTTTTAAAAGAGACCTTATTATCAATCTGGAAAATTCTAAAGATTATATGGAGTTGATGGATATATTTTATCTTAAACTACTTTGTGGTTGTTGGAGAATGTACATTTTATTGTACATTCAAATTGGAATTTTGTCATTTTCTTTTTTTATTTATCTCTAAAAACACTTTCTTCTTATGTTCAAGCTCTAATATATATTTATGTATTCATCCATAAATGTTGATATATATTTGTACACACACATGTGAGCTTAAAATAAGTATTTTACTGATGCTTCTTGAAATGACAGTATTTTATTAAGAAGGAAATATGTTCATGTAAGTTCACATAAAATCTAAAGTTCTTTTTTTGGTTCAGTGTTTAGAAAATTCTTGATAATTTAGAATCTTCCACAATGGAAAGTAAAGCATTCTGTCACAAAAGCAGGGAGGATGAGACACGAGGTCAAAGGGCATTTTAGAAACAAACAGCTGGGCCAGTTTATTTAAACAGATACAGGGATGGGGGAACTGACCTCTGTTTGACTTATAGTGGGAGGAGCAAGAATGTCATTTTATTACTTTGCCCAGAAGGAAAATGTTTTTGTATCTGAATTCACCCCGAAGCCATCTAAACACATGGCTTTGCTGTACGTAGCATACTTCCAAAGAGAGTACATATAAGATAGTCTAGGATAATGATAAAATACACTAAAGAGAGGCAAATGTTCAGATGGTTTTAAGATCAAAGAGATCATGTTTTAAAAAAGAAAATATTTGGCTATTAGTTATTTTTAGGTAAAGATATCTGTCATGACCCCAGATAATAGTGTATTTCATATGAGTATAGGAATTATAATCTGGTAACATTCTGAGAGTTTATGATGTCCTGTATGAGCTGATAAGTTTTCAAAAATGAGAAGTTCCAAGTATGTAGTTTAGACAAAGTGATTAGGTGTTCTTGGGTTTTCAATGTTTTATTATTTTTATTTTATTTAATGAAATATCTTCATATCTACATATCCTAACGGTAGCCTACATCGGTGCTGTCAGTAATAGCAACTGGTTATTGCCACCAAAAGAAAAGCAACAGTACCTAGTACCTGGGGGCCCTTAGTTGAGAGGCTGTGGTGAGGTGTTTACTTGCTACCTGGGGACCAGAGCAGGGCTAGAGTAACAGCATTTAGTGTTGTCCACTGACGACCTTCAGAGGCACACAGACAAACCTCAGCATAGTGAGCAGAGTGTGGCCCAAATGATGAATGGACTCAGCATCCTAGAACAACTCACATCCTAGAATGGCATTGTTAAGAATCACAGAGGCGTAACCGAGGGAGAAGAGGGGAGAAGCCAGTGGAGCATGATGGCTATGGTTTAAATATTTGAAAGCAATCCTGAAGAAGTAATATTTAAATTGTTTGAATTACCCCAAGAAGTTGTCCTGGTGAAAGCACTTTAGATCCAGTGAGGCAGAAGGTGCTGACAGTTGCCTGGTCTATAGAATGAGTGGGCTCTCAGGTAAGGTGGCAAGTATTGTATTAGAAACAGCCCAGCAGAGGTTACCCCTCTTGATACCCATTACATGGGGATATCAGAGAGTGAAAGCAAGTCAGTGATCTAGCTAGGTGAGCATTAAAGCCCCTTCCAAAACCGAGGTGTGATTTTTCTATCATTCCTTGGTTTTAACAATCATGGATTCAAACTTGAGTTGATTAATATGAATTGGTCTTTGGGAATCTGAATATACAGATGTGAAAGAGGCAAGCTATGGAATATAGATAACTCAAGCCACCAAATCTTATTCATAGTTTTATCTTTGTCTATATACACTAGCAATACAGTCATCAAAATCCCCAATCTACAAAAGGTTCGGTCATGCTTATTGTTGGAATCAACGATAGAGTTGTTGCCAGTGTTGATTGGCTCAAAACCAGCTCATTTAAAAATATCTATGTACTTCAGAATATTCTAGATGGGTGGCACAGTAGTGGACATGCTCTGCTTAGGACATTAGAGAGGGGGGTACTTGATACTATTCGCCAGCTGTCTGTCACTCAGCAAATTATTAACATCTCTTGGGTAACATGTGACCTCAAATAAGTCACTTAATTTATCAGAGCTGTGGCTTCTTGTTTGTTAAAAAGTGCTCTTCCTATTTTTAGATAAATAGTATAAATCATATCCACAAAATATTATGTTTTTAAAAGGACTTTTAAAAAAGTTACCAGAGTTCCTTCACCCTAAGAGCCTGCAGACTATGAACAGTAGCAGTAGATAAAGAGTTGATTTTTGGTCTCTTTACCTAGATTAGTTACTATGAAAATTACTTTTGGTATATGCAGAAAATTAATATTAAATAATTTTCTAATTGGTCATGCAGTGAAGGCAGATAATGAAAAGGCAGATTTTTTTTTCATTTTAATTGGTTATTTCACATGGTGTTTGTGCTACACCTGTGCTTATAATGAGAATGGAGAATTAATCTAACCTTCTGCTCACATGATTCCAATTTTCATGGTTTATACAAGATAATGATAACCTGATTTGCAACACAATTTGTTTTAGATCTGTGCTTTAAATATTTTTATTAGCAGTTCAGGGACTTCATATACAAGAACTGATATAATAAGTGTTGCCAATAAGAGTTAGCACTAACAGTGTCCTTTTAGTTAGATTCCACTGTCATTA